ATTGTGTAGGTGACACCGCGAATAAAGCTAATACCCAAACCTAGCGCAAGGCAAAACCCAGACAACGTGCCGTGAAAGCTGGTTTAGAGTTAGCGAAAGCAGACAGCTTCGAACATTGTGAAACAACCCATACCCGTACAAGCGCAAGGAGAGAGTCAGCAGTATTTCGTGATTGATGAATAAGGCGTAGCACCCGTGAATAGTCATGACTCACGGAGTGGATACCATACCACAGTGAAGTACACCACGTTTCTGGTAGATTTCTGCTTTACTGACTTGCGAACACAAACCCTTCGCTCGAACGCACTCCGGTAACCAAGCCTTGTACACTAACTAAGTCTCAATATCAACTGTCTTAAACCCTGACGATGTCTTCTGACCGAGCCATGTGTGCTTTCTAAGCCTCAGTATCAACTGTCGCTGACGAGGTCTTCTAATTCCTACATGTCTTTGCCCTTGCAGTATGCGAGATATCTTGGTGGCGACCTTCAAATAATCTCGGTGGACGGCTACGGAACGGACGCTTACATCTACTGTATGTCGTATAGCGTATGCTTATATTTACTGTATGTCGTATCCAGTATATGGTTTCTAGTATCGGTCTTTAAAACGGTTTGTATCTCAATCGCCCACCGCCAGCCTTCATACATCGTACGCGTTTATTTATGGCTGCTGCGCGTTGCACTGTCTTATAGATATGTAGTATTACCAAATACACTTAGGGCTCCATATCGGTTCCACCTACATTGGTTCCAGTGAATGCCTATGATGTGGTATCTTTTACTTACCGATTACCTTTCGTACTTCTTTAGACTAGAATTTGATTTAGAGTTTTATGTACTCGTGGATCATTTTAGACCGAACGTCTTGTTTGAACACGTTTCATCTGCTGTTCCCATCGTGGTGGGCTCAGTTGCATTCTATTGCTCGTTGTGTGTACCACTTCATCTGTATGCATTCCACCAGTAAGCGTTCGTGTTTTCAATCCTAATCGTCTTGTATTATTAGTGTGTATCTGTTCAGCTTATGCCCTGTTACATCCACTTAGACTCCCGATTGTCGCGGTGTCTCTGCAATCTCTACGGTTGCAGACCATTCGTTGGCGTGTCATGGGAGGGATGACGTATAGTTGGGCTGTTCACCCGTAGGACGCCCTCCGCTTATCTTGACCCAACATGATATCATCTAGGCACGCATTAATTGACGTACTGACACAGGATAATGAAGTGTGAACCGTGGCAGAGCTAGCACGTACAAGCGTATCAATGAGTTGTGGATAGCTGCCGAAATATCGTATCATATCGTCACACCAGTCACCTGAGTCTTTATACGACACTCATATTATCTGACATCCTCCACCCGGGTGTTCACCAGACAACCACATCGTATCATATCGTCACACCAGCCAAGCCACCTGAGTCTTAATACGACACTCACATTATCTGACAATCAGATTGTCTCACCTGAGCCAATCGGGTAATATCGAACAAACAAATTGTCACACATCAGTCATCCGAGAGCGCAACAGAGCATCACACAATTTCACACCATACGCGTGGGTGTATGTCGACTATTTCATTCTATCAAATTAGTTACCCGAAAGTATATATAACAATCACAAAACCACACCATACGTGCGAGTGTATGTCTTGACTATATTATTCTCTCAAAGTAGTTACCCAAAAGTATATATAACAATCACACAGTCACATCATATGCCCGAGTGTTTAACTGACCTGCAGCTGGGTTCATATTGTTCACTTCTATACAACTTGTGTCGTGCAGTGAGGCAATCGGCAGATGCTGCGAATGAAGTTTTGCCTACCTATTCGAATACAGCAATGCAACATTACAACAGTTCTACGCAGGTAAGCTTATGTCCCCCTGTATATTAGATACAGCACAAAAATGGCACATATCTAGCCACAGCACACGTGTGATAGTAAGCACAATGAATCTGCATCGTCATACATATCGCCTGCACGCATGTGTTTATTTATAGACGTGTGCGTATGTATGCTACTTATGCGTGTTGTTTCTAAGGCGCGATACTAGGTCCGCAGTACTCGCTATGAGCTTCTATTGCAATGCACCAGTTTCACAAAGTTGACATTTCAGTTGTTGACGTTATCGTCGAATTTATTTATTTATAGCGTTTCCCAATCAATTACGTTTACCTCTTGTAATAACGCAGATTAACGACTGGTTGAACAACATCCATCCGAACCGGAGCGACCGCAAAATTTAGGATCAGAATTTCGCGCCCTTAAGTGCAATATATCAGTCCAGACCGATTTATTGAATAAATATTGGACACCCATAAACAAAAACCAAACAAGCCACAACCACGGCTTTCTTTCTGTGTACGCTACCAATGCCGATGCCTTCTATGCCATTCCGGTAGATGAATGTGCGTGTACCTAGATTTAAGTCTCCATTGTAAGCCGCTCATGCGGATGAGGTCTGAGCAGAGTCTATTTGTTCAAACTGTCAAGTATCAGTATTACGATCTCCAAGTGCGATTTATCAATCACATCGCTCAACGTGCAAATCCTTTAGGGATTGCTGCAATGGCGTACAAATGAGTTCTTTGTGATATCGTACGGGCTAATCTCAAGTAGTATCAGCGTGTCAGCACAAACCTTGCTTCACAATTCTAAGCACGTATTATCCAGTGTATGCAAAACTGGGATGAAACTTGGTATACGGCAAGTGCATCGCAAGAACGAAACAGGAAAAAAGGGTTTATCGACCCTAAACCCTGAAATATGTGACGCATAGTCCTATGGAATGTAGTCAGTTGGGTCATGAGAATGGAGTTCCCTAAGTGAAAAACCACAAACAAGCGAAACAAGCGTTTGTTTCGGCCGCAGACGTCATAAATACTTGAATTACTATTCTAGGCTCTATGATTTGATTCCATGAGCTGAAAAACGACATGCCAGTCATCCTAAATTTGCTAGCATACGCCAAGCAAAACCATGTGGATATCTAAAAGATTTTAATCCCGAAGCCGTTGAGGCTCTGGATATTGTCCACAGAAGAGGGTATGGTTTTTAGGAAAAATCAACCCGATTGGCATTCCTGCCCCTATGAAATCGAGGCCGCTCGTTATTTGTGGTTACACTTGCCGCTTGTGAATTCTCGAACCAGATCCAAAGGTATCCAATGAAATTTTACTAAAGTGCCCAACATAGTCGATGTAGTCCAATGAACTCACTAGAGTGCCTAGCATAATCGATGTGATCCTATAAATTTACAAAAGTGTAAAATATAATTTATAGAATCCAATGAAAATACTGAAGTGCAACCAATTTACTAAAGTGCCCAACAGAATGGATGCCCTAACATAATCGATGTGATCGAATAAAAGTACTAAAGTGCTTAACATAACCGATGGAATCAAATGAACATACTTGAGTGCCTAATACAATCGATTTGATCCAATGAAATTACTAAAGTGTCCTAACATACTCGATGTGATCGAATAAAAGTACTATAGTGCTTAACATAACCGATGGAATCAAATGAACATACTTGAATGTCTAATACAATCGATTTGATCCAATGAAATTACTAAAGTGCCCAACATAATCGACGTGATCCAATGAATTACTATAGTGTCTACCGTAATCGATTTGATCCAATGAAATTACTAAAGTGCCTAAACATAATCGACGTGATCCAATGAAATTACTAAAGTGAGCAACATAATCGATGTGACCCAATGAAATCTCAGAACTGTATAGATACCAGTACCACACGAAGTATTTACTAAATCTTGCGTCAGTACTCTATGGTTCTACTTGTGCAGGGGTTGAGCTCGAGGACCGCTTATAAACCAAGTCATCGCTGCGACTGGACAATGCACCCAGCTCGCCACATATCCTCGAAACATCTTTAACAGCCCCTGTTTCTGTACGACTCCCCTTTGCAGACCCTGTACTTGCCGAGCTCATGCGTCGCCTAACTAACGGATGGTCCATTTTGACTGCATGCGTGCCGCTCTTATTTCCGTTACCTTCGCCTGCCATGGTAGCGCCGCGCTTGTTCTCCAGCCCCCATCGACTACGCAGATTGGATGCTGGTTTGTGTTCCCTGCTCTTCTTTGCAGGACTTCCTGCAGGCCGATCCTCCGCGCCTGAACCAGCATTAGACCCTTCAGCAGACCCTTTAGTAGAACCCCCATCACCCCCCCCATTCGATTTCGACGACTTCCTCTTCCCCTTGAATAGGTCTAGATCAAAGAACTTGAAGATTCCGGCACTGACAGCGCGTTTTTCAATGCACGGTGCATGTGCATGCTGTGTTTGCACAGCCCGACCTTCTCCACGTGCTGCCTCTTCTAAAGCGTCTCTCTCCTCACTCTGAAGCTTCATACACGCATCCGACGGAAACCCTCTGCCCAACTTGCCTCCAGCCCCCGCAAGCTTTGCATCATCGTCTTGCCTTGTGGTCTGTCTGCAGTGGTCATTCGCACTACCCGGCCCTAACAAGTAGATATTGGGTGTACTCTCACTCGTTAAACTCGATAGCGGCACAGCTGTAAGTGCATCGTCTGCAAACCGCTTCGATGCACTCATCCTCGCACTTTTGGGCCCCAATGCACCTGAATCGACCTCATCCGGACCTGTACCGGCACCTTGCAACTCATCTGTGCATACACCCGCACCTTCATGTCCAATCCAGGGTGACAGGTTCCGTTTCTTCCGTGCCCCCTCCTTGGTCTTGCGCATAGCGTCCGTGCTTCGACTCCCACGCAACCCACAAGCCCCACTGCCATGGCGTTTCTTTTTCTTTGTCTCGCTCGTGGTGTTTCTCAGGTCACCCAGTACGTCTAAGCTCTGGCTTTGCATCAGATTCGCACTGCGCCTGCGCATCACACAGTCCATACTAGAGTCCGTCATGTCGTCACCGGTCGTAGCGTCGTCTGTAGTGTTGTCCGCGTCCGTATTCCCCGTCCCGTCACCCCCAAATCCCAGTGCTGTGTGGCCCTCATCTGACGCATCTTTGACATCAGCACGGCCGATATGTCCAGGCGACGGTGAAGCATAACAACTCTGCGGGCGTTCACGACTTCCTCCCGTCTTATTGCGCCGAAACATGCTGCTGGTGGGTGCACGTGCCTTAGGCTGCTTGGTCGCCAGTTGAGAGTCTTTTCTGGACAACCCCAGAGGCAGCGCATTCTTCTCGTTGATGGATAGCGTGATCTTGTTCCCATGTGTTTCGTCGTCCTGTGTTATAGGTGAGCGTGGGTTGAAGTGGAACTCAGTGCCGGGATCTGGGGATTGTGAGAGTATCTTCCTCCTTACCGTACCACTGATGGTGCTACTACTAGTGTTGCTGTGTTTTTGTTTGGCTACGGTAGGCGCAATTATCTCCGCCCTATTCGAATTCAATGTGTTTTTATGGCCCCGAGGTGATTCGGAATGGCTCTGAGAAAGCCGGAGTGGGGGAGTCTGTGTTGGTGTGGCGTCCTGCATGTTATCCGACGAAAACGCCGTGTAGATGGTGTGTAGCTCCCCAGATTCCGTCCCCGATTCCTCTTTGCTTCCCTCCCGCATACTCATATTGTACACCGTTTGGGAATATTGCTTCTCCAGACGAAATGGAGGTGTCTCCCGATCCTTGTTCTTATCCCGCTCTCTACCCTTATCACTACCGCCCTTACCACTACCGTACAGGTACTGTGTGCTGAATGTCACCGCATCCGATGGCGCCTTGTAGTTCTGGGTACGGGCCGGTGGTGTGCTGAACCCCATCGATAGGCTGATATGAGTGTTAGTATTCTTTTGGTTACTGTGTTGCTGTACGTTACTATTCCCGTTGAGATGAGCCATGCGTTCGTTCTCCATGCTCTCAGACTCTAGAATGTATTGATCGAGCGCAGCCAAAAACGCTTCACCTTTGGCTTGATCCTTGGCCAAGAAGGGTCCCAGCTTGAAGTGTTGGTCTAGATTGTGCACCTCGAAGGCGTTTTTGTAGACTGCGAATCAAAAGTTGAAATTAGCAAACGGGTTTCCTATGATGCCCTTGACTTCAAAGCAATTTCGGAAACGGCACAGAGCCATGATACGGGTTAAGTTGCGATTCAGAGTTTGATTATGAAGAGTCAGATCATACACACACACACCAACATACGAAGAAGGAATGTGGGTTCGTATAGAAAATGAACAAGCCAGTATAAACATAATTCAATTCAATAGACCGTGTCAAGTGATCAGGCTTGAGATTTGAATATACTGTTTGACAACATACATTGCGAACTAGACGCTGTTATTCGGATCATGCCAAAAAGAGGAACGAGCGTACGAAACACATCCGCTTGTTTCTTGCGCTTTGTGATGAGTAGCATGTCGTTGAAGAGCACCAGCTTTCGGCTGTGCGTACCATAAATCCGCGAGAAGTAGTCCTACAGGTACAAGTGAGTGAGAAAGTAAGCAAAGGGTCCAACTTTATCTCGTGAAATCGCAGGTGCACACGAGGGCGAGTCTGTAAGATTGCGATAAACACTATACCCAAGGATGTACTCAATATATCGGAAGCCATGGTATTCCAATACACCCATGTCACCCAGAAGCGCAGGGTGAACATACCTTGATCAGTCCAACATCCAACTCCATGACAAAATATCGCCATGGTTGCACAATCCGGTTAAGGCCTATATATGCTCTCTTGTTGGAGGATTCGCGGATGGACTGGATTTTCGAAGTCATCTGTTAAATATATATTTGAGTGCATATTGTATAAGTACCGTCTTGCACCGAACAGACTGCGATTCATTGGCAGGAAAAAGCCCATGGTGCACATTGCATCGCAATACAAATATCCGCATGAACACCTGAAACACCCACCTCGTCCACATAGACATCGGTGGTCTTCCACTCCTTGGTAGTGATCCTGGCATACAGGTCCGACAGGTACTCCGGGTTAATACTTTTGCCATTGTTGATCCCTCGGTTGTTCCTGATGAACTCTTCACGCGTCATCTTCCTTGCCACATTCTGATTATGGGCGTCTGTGTGCAACATAATACATGAATACGCCAATATGTACGCTGTATCCCAGATCTCAAACCCGCCCTGCGTTGGGTTCTGCTGGTAGTAGCGCCTCGCAAAGGCCTCCATGATCCTATCGACCACCTGTGCCTCGCCAGACATTCGGAAATGGCTAAGAAACGAAGCCAACGCATCATAGAAATGCGTGTCCGAGAACTGTAGTAAGTTGACAAATTCTCGCAGTGTTTGTACTATCACTGTGCTGGACCCACCCAGGTACTCCCCGATCTTTGTTTTGGACAGCCGGAGCTCGTCTGCTCGAAGCAGGAAAGCAGCGGTGGCCTCGTGCGATGATAAAATCAGACGCTCTTTCCTGTTGCGTGAGGAGGCAGGCAATTTGCGGTTGGTAGTTGATTGTTGATATATTGAGCGCAAGCAATAAGAGTTTATGTAACGCAATAACAAGGCATGGTCAATCGTTAACAGAGCAGCAAGTCAATCTAAGAATAATACAGTTGGGATACACAGTAGTGCCTCATTCGGGTGACTCTCACTGCTGCTACCAGTGACAGAACTCGTGCATCGGAAAACACGAAGACACGGCAAAGACGCACAACATCGACGTACCTCAGAAACATTATGCCCTTCTTCGGATCACGATTGAATAAACAGACACCTTTCCGCATCAGCGATCCGTATGTTGCGTCCTCAGGGGATATAAGTGATTCCTCGTCGGACATATCAGCTGCCGACTGGTTTGACAGGGCGCCCGCATGATTTACTGCAAAATTACACGAATAATTACAAAGGGGATTGCAATGTAGCGAGATTAAAACAAATTACATTCGCGGGTAGAACATTCGAACACAGACTCGCACACACGCACACATCCCCCCCCCNCCCACAACAACACAACAACACAACGAACACACACACACACACACACA